CCATGGGGAAGGAGAGAGCATTCCCTGGGGAGCAGAGACTTCCACCCTGAGATAATGGTGAGTAGCAGAGCCAGGGTCACACCTATAGGATGCCATTGAGAAGGGAGGGAGGAAGCCCTTTGCTTCAGACAGAAGGACAGGAGTAAGTTACAACAGCAAAGACACATTGCTTCAACTGGGACAGGAAGTGCAAACAGAAGGAGCGAGGGTAATTAATTTCTCCAGCAGAACTCTGAGAGTTTACAGTAAACTCTCAAACTCTAGATAAGCAGTCATAAAAACTTGTGCTGAATTCTTTGATTTGTCCTGAATTCTCTGATTCTGAAAGAAGCACTGATCCCATCCTCGGAGAGAGCAGCCTGATAAAAATGAGCACTGCTGCATGTTCTTCTGGCCAAGAGGATGGGGTGCAGCACGTCCAGGCTTGGCACATGGCAGAAGGTCAGAGCTGATTCTGAGAACCCAGCAACAATAGAGTCATCATGGACACAGGTGCTTCCTGGATTGATCTTGCATTTTTTGGCTGTTTCCAGTTAAATGTGAAGCAGCTGTGGCCCTTTATCTGCTCAAGCCACTGGAATCTATCTAAGGGGAGACTTTCTCCCATCTCCTCCTCCTTCCCACTCCAAGCATGCAGCTCTGTTTTCTGAAGACAGAGAGGAGCAGGGACAGCCAGTTGGCAGAACTCCACACAAAAAACCAAAAAAAAAAAACCAAACAAAAATCCCCCAATAACCAAAACAAACTTGCCTTTCTTATCTCAGGGCACAGCAATGAGATATTGATTCAGTCACTAATTTTCCAATGGCTGTATCTGGGGACAAGGATGACAGCCAGCAAAACAAGAAGCAAATATGAATGCTGCTGAAGGCTGTCACGCAAACAGATTCAGGACACTTCCTCAGGCAACAAAATGAACAAATTAAGCCAATGTGAGAGTAAGTTCTCAAGAGTTTATGGCATTGTTCTGCATGATGAATAGAACAGGGTTTCTTTTACAGAAATGGATTGAGCTTTAAAGAAGGTGTTTTCAATAGTCAGCTGGTGGAATTCTGGAAGAGGCACAGGAAGGTCAACACTGGGCCATCAGGCACATCAACAGGAGGGGCCAGGAGATTTCAGAAAGCCAGTAAGTAAGAATTCCCAAATAGCTCCACACGAGCTACATGTATTTTATATAAACTTTTCTTTGCCAGTTCACTGATTCTGGAGCCATCAGACCCCTCTATGTCATGGCTATTTCTTCCAGCCAGACAAGATCTCACTTTATTTTTCCCCACTACCTTAGGAAAGGGAAGAATTGGCTCAAATTTGTGCTTGTCACTAGACAACAGAAATGTGAGACTCTAGGTATTCAGTTTGACTGGCTTTAAGAGCAGCCATTTCACAACCCATGCTTAGCATTTTGAACAGAGGAAGCCAACAATCTTCTGGCTTTACCCAGTCAGTATGCAACTGAAAGCATAAACAGGTTTGGTCTTTGTCCTGCTTCACACTTCCCAAGGCTTTTCTTTTCCTGATACATAGGAACAGTGCTAGTTATTTTCTACAAAAGGGATTCTCTTGTCCTTTCTAAAACCAAAATGGATGGCAGGGTTTTAACATCATACCAGACTATACTCCACCTATTTATGGTAATCCTGCTGAATTATTGCTGAACAGTAAAGATCAACAATATTGTTGAACAATAAAGATTAGATTACTAACCATGTCAATAATAGTAATAATCATACTGTTCTGGGAACAGAGAGATTAAAGAAAATGACCATTTGCTTTTTTGGCAAGACAGTACTGGTAGTAAGTAGAACATAGCATGAGTGTTTTGCTAAAGATACTTTCATATAATGGGGCTTCTTACTTAACCTGAGAGAAATTGTCCTGTAAATCACTGTCAAGGAATCATTGATATTCATCCAAAACCACCCTCAAATTCAATCTGATATACTTTCAAACACTCCTATGTGCCAGCTCGAACTGTTCCTCTTCATTCTTCTGCATACAGTCTGTCCACAACACTTTTTTTGAATTCCCTTTGGTAAAACATAAGCATGCAGCTGCTTCAGTTTTTTTCCAACCCTTGCATTTTTTCCATGTGCTGTCCACCCCCCCAAACTCCACATTAGAATCCAGCTGATCTTCCTTGAACACTATCCAATTTTTCAATTGTCAATGCCAGAATGCAATGAAGTGGGCTTGACTCCCTTATACAACTTATTTGGAAGTAAAGCAGAAATGTCTCTTTTGGGCTTGAGCACAAAGAAATACCTCTTCATGTATGGCTCCACAAGAACCAAGATGAAAACACCTCCATCTCTGCAACCTCTGTAACCCACAAAACAATTTCTGCTTTGCAAGCAGCTCAAAATTTGGTGAGCCTCTATTTGTTTATTCGATGTATATATTTTGTTACTGCAGTCACTATAGCAAAATGGTTCCTCTTCTGGGCCTTTCAATTGTTTTCATTTAATCTTTTCAAAAGGAAAGAGAAAAGTAAAAAAAGGAAGGCTAGACAAAAATGCAAAGTTCCTTAAGACACTCAATTACAGCAACGTGACAATATAACATAAACATAAACAACACAACAACTATTAAGTTGTCGTGCTATTGTGATGTTGTACTCTGTTTGGCTAGACTGTCTTTTGGAGCTCACCCAGAAATCATAAAATACAAGCTATTCTGTAAAAAAAGAGACAAAATGGTTTGCAGCAGCCTCCTCATTTCTAAGGGGGAGCCCCAAGCACTTCTGATAGCTACAGCCCCACTTACAGGGAAATGACAATACAGTCCCTGATGTGCAGTCTTTTTTTCTTCTAAAGGCAAAAAGCTGTTTCTTGTGAATATATTTAAATGTTCTTTATTCACAATTTCTATAGTTTTCTGCTGTTTCTGCACCTTGATTAATTCAGTCTAGTGGCAACACTGGACTTTTTTGCCATGCAATTTATTTTTCTTTCTTTATTCTCATCTTGAACTGGCACATCTACCTTATCATCAGACCACAGGAAGACTCACAGAGCATCTAATCCTTATGGGGGGCAACCATGTGTTCTCTCTTGACTCCACCCAATATTCCTGCACAACTGTTTACCCTTTAAAAAAGTGTTGTTTGTTCAATGTTCAGAGCAGACCCCGCTGGAATAAGGGTTCTAGTCCAGGCAAACCTGCCCAACACGAACGTTACAGAACAGAAGTTACCCAGTGTGGGACCATTCAGCTGAGGACACACACATCGATCTAAGCAGAGTCCAAGCCCTCCTGCTTTCATGGCCATTTCCCCCAGGAATTGAGAATTTTAGGGAAGACATCATGAACAGGAGACGTTGCTGCCAGGGTAGGGGAATGTGCACATAGAGGTGCCCCACTCTGCAAATAAGTTGACATTAAGCACTGGCTTTGAGTCAAGTTTCCTGCCCCATCCTTTATTTCAAGTCTTGATGATGTGTACAGACATAGCCTAACACCAGAGAGCAGAGACTATTCTTGGACTTCTCTCACACTATTGCATCTTTAGTTCTTCTCAAGGGCTAGCAACAGCCAATAAATTAATAGTTTCACAATTTCCAGTTGAAACACTTTTCATGGGAAGATGATACTTTCAACTAAATGAAAATTGCTGAAGAAAGTGTCTGCTTCCCTGAGTGGAAAGTTTCTTTGTCAGAAACCTAGGAATGGTACACCTCCACTGTTCTGCTGTAGTTTGCTTGGGTTTTCTGTTTTGCTTTTTTTTTTTTTTTTTTGGTTGGTTTTAGTAAAAAAATTTCCAGCTCCAGACTGCTGCAGTGTTTACTGCTCTTCCCTGCACCATGTTGACTTTTCTCCCCCTGCCAAAGTGCTTCTTAAATCTCCTCTGAATATATGCTCTTACTGGTGGTGTTTAACAGCCTTTTCTTCCTCTTTCCCCCATTGTTATTTAAGACGATGCTTTTATTGCTCAACAGATTCCAAGAAGCATTTTGGATAAATGCTCTGTCAAAGAACACTTATGTACAGTTGAGCCATATTATATTCTATATGAATCACTGCGGATGTTTCCCAAACAAGGTTAGATCAGCCAGATTTTCCAACTAGATTACACACAGCTTTTTCAGACATGGTCTGCTACCTCTGCCATTAATCCTCCTCATTGAGACTCACCTCGGTTTTGGACCATGTCATGTCTGCCCACCAGGGACAGGAGCATGCTGCTAACACTTTCTCTTAATGAGGATAACAATCCTATGACAGAGTAGCCTTGGCCAAATTTTATCTGCAGAATGTAGGGGAAAGGCTGATTTTGCAAAGCTAGATGGTCTCTCACCAGCCCTCATGGTTTTATTGTCTGTGATTTCTTCAGACAGATACCTCATTTAAATGGCCAGGAAAAAGAAAAGTCTACAGGATGAAGGAAATCTGTTTCACCAGCTAAGGACAATTTTGTGCCATGTTTTATTTTATACTAATGAAGATTGCCAAGAGCCTATTGATCAGTCCTTCTTGCCTGCTTTACCTGACCAGATATATGGAGAAGCTCAGGGAATACTGAATTGCTCTCTACCTGCCCAACACACTTTCAATGATGCATCTGCTACATAAAATGTGGTCCTTCAGGAAAAACTGAAATTCCACCTGAAGAACAGCAGCCTGACAGAGAGGTCTGCAATGGAGAAGCAACAAAAACCCCATGGAGAGCAAAAGGAAAAACAGCTCTGGGGGAAAATGAGCTGAATGAAATGTTTCTTTAAAGAAACCATGGCACTTCTGAGCTGGTAGAATGAAGCAGCTGTGATATAAATAATGTCCCCAAGTGGAAAAAACCCACAAAAACACCAGCCATTCAGGCTCCATATGTTTCCAAACTCACACAATGGATGCTTTACAATGCACTTTTTGTCTGGAAATTGGGTGGGAAAGGGAGGTTCCTCATCCACCTCCTATACTAATGCAATAATCTTGCTTAGTCACAGAAAAAGGGAGAGAAAAAAGGAGAGAAAGTGATTAATAATCTGTGGGCAGCTGCTTACTTTCCAATTGGTTGTCCAGGAGGGGTGTGCTCCACTTCAAATCCTGCTTGTCTCAGTACATCAATCACAGTGTTGTTACCCAGGAAGTGACCTAAAATACAGGTAGAAAATAGCACTGTCAATCAAACTACCACTCTCACTCACTTGAGTTTCTCCTGTTGGAACAGCAGCTTTGGGAGTCAAGGGTGCCAAAAACTAGACCAGAGGGACAGCATACAGCCCAAACACTTTCTTCTTCCATCTCATTTATCCCTCCCTCCCCTCACATGGCCAAGGGACTGGGTGGAAAATAGGAAACCTAGATGGGTTGCTAGTCTTGCTTTTCACTGTGACCATTTTTAGGATGTACACTGATTAAATAAATTTCCAACATGGAGATCAGAATGACCCTGCAGTGGCAAAAGGATATTACTAGGGCTTTGACTCTTGAAATGGAATAACTTACAACCCTGACCATCACTGCTCATGGACATCTGCTAATGAAGAGAGTCAGGCTGCTGTAATGCATGTTCAGCAGTTGTCTGACTAAAACCACAGTGATTCAGGAACTGCCTCATCAGCCATTCAGCCACCTGCACAGTGGGGCTGGGAGGAGCTGGGATGGTAACCTTATCTCTCCCAAAACACGAAGATTTAGTCCTGTAATTCAGGGCTCTTTGTTAGAAGTGTAAAGGTCACATTCCTATTCACAGAAGTAACAAGGAGCCCAGTAAGTATTGCAGTGTGTACAGGCCTTGAAAGAGTTTACTTAAGGGGGTCCCATATACTTGAAATCTGAACCAAATCCCACCGGAGTCAATGGGAGCCCTCAAAGGGCTTTGGGCACAGACTCAATAAGGGAGTGTAATCCAGCCAAAGCTTTCAACTTATTGTCAGAGTCCCTCACTGTTTGCAGGATGCGTTGGATATATGAAGGCAGCAAAAAGTCCACAAACAGATTTATTAAAATCCACATAGCACTGTAACCTGTCTCCAAATGCAGCCATGAGTGACATGGAAGAAGAACAGAACAATCCTCTTCCATTATATCCATTAACTTCCAGCTCTGCATGGCCAGGTGACCCCCATTTACAGCCAGGTCACTGAACCTCACTGCGAGCTCTGAACAGACCAGAATTCACCAGGAATGTGCCCAAGTCTCCCTGTGCCTCTGGCATCTCAGAGGAGGGAGTTCCACCACGCTGTGGGGTGTAAGAACTCATTCTGGTTTGCTGCTGCTGCTTGGAGAGCGTGTGCTTGCCTGAAGCACAGTGAAAGTGTTTGCAGGACACATTTCTGACTGCCTGGCTCCACAGCAGAGCCAAATTGCACTGAAAAAAGCAAGGCAGGCAAGAAGTGCCTGAGTCCCCCTCCCAGAACACCGCTGTGCAAGGAGCTGGTGCAGCCACCAGCAGAGTCACTTCTGGGATTCTTCGCCCACCCTGCACAAAGTCCTGATGAATTTGAGAGCATTCAGCCCCCAAGATTTGCTCAGCCTGCATCCCTCTGCTCCCACTGCCAACAAGGGCGCTAACTCGCCTCAGTTGTTGGAACGATGTAGCTGTATGGCTTTGAGCGCAACTTGCAAGCGCTGGTAAGAGCTTCTAGCCAAAAGACATTTCTTTAAATGATTAAATGTACATTTGCAGAGCCCTAGTGTGTTCCAGGATTCCTCCACTTCCTTTTAAGAAAACTCAAAATTTGATTTTCCCCTTTCTAACTTACTTATAACAAAAGCCAAAGCAGCAAAGAACAGTCCCAAAAATGTGTTATACACCCTCAGAGATTCAAGAAATGAGACATTTGTGAATGATTAACTGGATTTGATCATATCCTGTTTTTTTATGCAGTGGCCAAGGCAAACAAAGGTCCCCATTCTGTCACTGGCAAAGTGACACTGAGGAGCCAAAGTCAAAGGTATCAGAGTCTGAGACGTTTCCGAGTCCACTTTATTTTCCCTGAGCCAGTCTTAAATGCCAAAAGATTTCTTAATGTAAATAATTGTCCTGATTCCAGCAAATCTTTGACAAGATGACAGCACAAGAGAAACCAATTTTAACTCTTCTAAACTCAGGGGAAAAAAGTAACTATGCAAAAGCTCCGACTCCTCATCCACACAATGGTAGGTCGGTCAACAATGTCAGCTCCTCAGCAGAGCCTGCAAGTCCCTTCAGGTGATGGATGAAGACCAAAAGATGACACTTCCTGGACCTCCCATTCCTGCCCTCTGTGTGGATACCATGCTGAAAGCTGCCAGCTGCTGGGAGTGGTGATCTGCTGGGCAGCATGGCCACAGGGTTTGTTCTTTTAATTTTGCCTTTCCTAACTGGAAGGAATGCCAGCTTCCATTAAAAACCCCTCAACTTCAGATTCCCAAATGAATTAAAATCTTAATTACAAATATCCATTCAAACATCATAGTTATTTCATTGTATATCCACAATCCAACACATACTAAAATATTTTCAATGCTCCAGTTCAACCAAGAGAACAGAAATAAAAAGAAATAAAAAAAATCAAAACCAAAATCCAAATTTGAGCTGGCCCTCAAATAATTCTACATTCCACATACATCAACAGAGCCTGAAACTTTAACAACTACTAAGAAATGGCATGAGCAAGTCTTTGCAAAACTTAACCTTTAGAATCTGCTTAAAATTTACCTGTTTGTATTATCCCACGTACATCTGGGTAAGTTATCACCCATCTCATCAACAGCTTGCCCTGTAAATGCATCCTCTCCACCCGATTGAGGACTTCTGACTTCTGTTTATCTTAACTTTACTGTCCAGTCAGAATTCACATATTAAGGTTGTTTTTGTATCCACCTGTTCATTTTGCATCATGGTAATGCTGTTGTAGACAACTTATGCCCACCACAAGCAACCTGAAATCATGTTCTACTTTAGCGATTGAAAACGTGAAATTATGCATGCTCAGAACAGCAGTCTTTGCCACCCAACACAGACATTTCCCAAGAGTGATTCATGTGATCCCATGGCAAGGAGGTCTTCAGGATCAGAGATGTGGAAGAGAAAGTTTTAAGGAAAGAGGTGGGACTGGAGAGGTCCAGTGTAGGTAGGTAATGAGAAACACGAAAGGTTAAAGAATTCCTGGAAGGATTGTCTTGGCCTGCCTCCTGCTGTGAAGTCCATCATAATTATCCTTTCTGGTTTTAAAATCCAGGAAAATCTTCTATGTGAGAAATATCTTACATAAACTAACTCCCCCTAGTCACACACAACTTGAGATAAGGACTCACTTGTTAAATATTAACAACAGAATACTTTGACAGCCTATGTGATGAAAACAAAATAACCTGCATATGAGAGACAATTAAGCTCATCATCAGTGAAAAACATCAAATTGCTGCTCATATGTGCAAATAGAGTATGCAGTAACTGTCATATTCTTTATAACATCACTGGATTTACTTTTTATTTATAGATATGAAATAAATGAGCTTTATACATATATATGTGTATGTGCATGTATGCTTCTGCTTAAATATTTTAAAAATTTCTCTTCCTGGCCTGGGAAAAACCTCAAGAGTGTATAACTACTGAAAATTTAGTGCATCTAGAGATATATCAGACAGGCTAGAGAGGCAAGGGAATGATCTTGCATTTCCATCACTATTCCCTCTTCAGTCTAAACCTGAATAAACCATTCCTGCAGTATTAACCAAATTTATCTTGACAGCTGATGAAAACTGGATCCAAGAGGTCAGAACATCAGCTGCCTTGGGAAATCCATGGAAGTGGAAAAGGAGAGAAAGCAGACATAAAAGATTTTCTACACAGGGACCTGAAGAGAAAGTCTGTACTTGGGCATGGAGACAGGCAGAGCAGCCACCCCTAACAGTTTAAGATTAAAAGTGCCCAGGTGTGGATGCAATTCTTTTACACTCTAAGGATAAGGAGATACTCATGGGATTTGCTTGAGGACAAGATCCAGTGCTAAACACAGTAATTCTGCTGTTTAAACACAAACTCAAGCACAGTAGAGTGGTCAGTGTGGCTGCTGCACTTAAGAGGGGGTTTCTTACTAAATTTGATGAAGCCAAGATTATCCTCCTTTCACTCACGTCTTGTTTTTTCGAGACAAGGATCTGGAGACAGTGGAGGAACACATTATACAGCATGGCTGCTGACATTAATCATAGATCTTCCATTCCTGGTTTGCTCTTTTATTTTTAATTAGGAACTGTGCTTTGGACTACAGAAAGCAGAGCCATGTAATGTGTTTCCTTATCTCCCCAAGGTTTCATTTTTCACTGGTAGAAAGAAAGAATAAACCATCAATTAGGGTTGTTTTTTTACTAAAAAACATGTTAAAAAATACATTAAATATACATGGTTTCCTTAAAGCACGTCCATGCACAAACACACTGCTGAAAGAATGCACTTTTTTCCTTTCTTAGTGGAATATCCTGAGGCAGAGAGAAAGACACTTCTCAGTCAGCCCTTGACAGCCATGTATTTTCTAATTGACCACATAAACTAAAGCTCTCCTTTTCCATTTCAGACATCCTAGTGACCCTCATCAATAACCTAAGCATCAGGTTGCATCCCTCAAAAGTTAGATGAACTTGGGTGTTCCTACACAGAAAAATTATAACCACGTTTTGATGACAGAAGCAGAAAAAAATGTTTTTAAGCAAATGTTATGTACTTTATCTAGGTTTAGAGATCTACTACAAATTACTTTGTCTATTCTTTTCGCAATTCTTTGTTCCATGGCTTAGAAGGATAACGGGGTACAAAGGAGCAGGAGATAATTCCCTCACAAAGGACCTCCATTGCCAGAGCCTTTGAAGTTGTGCTAAAAAAGCCTTGCTAGCCATTAGCTGACACACAGCAGAAATCTGAACTGTTTCCATGCACACTACAAGCAGAGCTATTTTCTGCACAATTAGTCATAAAAAGGGCCAATGTAAACTGTGTCGGGAGGTCTCAATTCTTTACATTCTCCACACAGTGAATCAGACATTATGTATAACGTTTTGTTGCCATTTAGACCTTGGGCTGCTCTGCAATCAGGAGGCGGCAGCCTCTATTCCTCCTTCTCCCTCGATGCTGATTCTCAGGCCCCTTGGCAGCACCACAGTGT